TAACTTGACTCAAGAGCAAAAATCCTGAACCAAACACACCAATTGGAAGAAAATGAGTTTCTTGAGCCAAGAGGAAAAATTCTTGAGTCATTATAGATTCTCTTGAGTTAAGAAAATATATCTTGCCCCAAGAATTTTTCCTTTTGGCTCAAGAAATTCATTTTCTTTCAATTGGTGTTCTTGGTTCAAGATTTTTGCTCTTTAGTCAAGTTAAAATTTCTATCAGTGCACACACACACCCTGATAGAAATCTTCGTAGGAGTATTAAGAGCTACTTCTTAGGACCTTAAAAATGTGGAGATCAGATTAGAACTTGATTTTCGAAAACTGGCTTTGAACCAATGACTTCCCGATTTTTTTTTTTTTAAATCATTTATTTGTAAAGTGAGAACTTAAAAATTTAGAAACAAAAATCTTAGATGTGAAAAAAAAAATATTATGATGCAAAATGACGATGAAAATTACTGCACAGTAAAAAATTTTTCGTCAATGTGTAAAATGTAAAAATTTTTGTGTAGCATATTACACTTTAGTGTGTATAATTTTACATTCTCATGTGTTGATTCAACACACTAGAATGTAGAATTAACATTAGTTTGTGTAAAAACAGTCAGTAACACAAATATTTGTGTTGAATTTGACGAAAATTTTTTTACTGCATGTAAAAAAAATTTTTTTTCCTCTGAAATTGTAGGAAATGACGTTAAAATATATTTTAGAAAGCTAAAAAAGCTTTTTGGAAAAAAAAAATTTTTTTTACGAAATTTTGGGGGTACCCCATTTTGCCACCCCTACCCCATTTTGCCCCCCCCTCCCCTATATAGTCATATATAATTATATATGATTATATATAACCTCATATACAATTCCATATATAATCATGTATGATTATATATAATTTTATATACTTATATATATTTGTATATGGAACTATATATAATCCTGCATGGTTGTATATAGCTCCATATATAGTCATATATAATTATATATAACCTCATACACAATTCCATATATAATCATGTATGATTATATATAATTATATATGATTATATATAATTCTATATAATTATATATGTGATTCCATATATAATCATATATAATCATATATGATTATATACAATTATATATGATTATATAGAAACATTTTTTCTCGGGCACTGCGTTAGAGGTATTAAGAAAAACTCTCCTAAGGAAAATCATGATAATAAGTACGTATAATGAACTTGAACTGTTACAAGCAATAGTATATTACACTACAAGGGCAGTAATTTCAACAAGATTTTTTTTATGGTAGGCAATACTGTCCACTGGAGCTCAGAATCCGAATGAATGGCCAGAAAGATGCATTCGTCGTCAAAGAGTGGAATCATCATCACAACCATGATCCTCCAAAGGTATGACACATTCATAACTTCTACACGCACTATACCTTCGAATCAAACCCCCCCCCCCCCCCACACACACACACACACACACACACACACACACACACACACACACACACACACACACTGATGAAAAAATTGACTTGACTCAAGAGCCAAACTCTTGAACCAAAAATTCTATATCGAAGAATATGATTTTCTTGAGTCAAGAGGATAAATTCTTTAAACAAGAAGATTTTCTTAGACCAAGAATAATTTCTTAGCTCAAGAATTTATTCTCTTGACTCAAGAAAATCATTTTTTTAATATGGAATTCTTGGTTCAAGAGTTTGGTTCTTGAGTCAAGTTTATTTTTGCACGCCTCATAAGCAAAGCGTTGAGGTTGTGCTCTATTCTCGACATCGAAAAAAGCAGTTTTGTTGAAACTGAAATTGATTTTTGTTATTTATATTACACTTACAGGTTAAAATGAGTACACTTATGTCAAGTCAAATAATTTTTTAGGCACATAATATATATTTTAATAACAATTTTTTTATTTAACATAATAAATAATAACATTAAGCATAATCTTTTTTGGACGTCCGTGTATGAATGGGTGTATGTGGCAGGGAAATTGGTCGAAAAAATGATCGTACCGGAATAATTTTTTTTTAATTATCTAAAGTAACACACGACAGAATATCTTAGTTAATATGAGCGTTCAATTCACTGTCGTTAAATTATTATTTATAAAAAACTAATGTATGACTGTGGATTTTTTTGTATTTCTATCTATACATTTTATTATAGTATTTTTTTTCCTCACCTTGGAGTTATGGTGCCACTAAATCATAGCAGTTTTTTCTGTTTTTTATTATTTTGCTTTCTATATTTTATTTTAATCAAATTTATTTTTAAAAATGAGATTATGAGGCGTGCACTTTTGGATTTTCCAAACTTTTTTTATCAGTGCACACACACACACACACACACACACACACACACACACACACACACACACACACACACACACACACACACACACACACAACACACACACACACACACACACACACACACACACACACACACACATTCATAACTAAGAAACATAACAAAGAAACATACACATGTACCCTGATACACATATCTTAAGACATAGTCTCATATACATTCAGATAAAATCGAAAACACACACGGACACACGAAGACAGACACGCCCAAACACAAAGAACCACATGTATAAATATATATATATACACACACACACACATGCGCGCGCGCACAAACGCATGCACACAGAAATACGTGCCCACAGTAACATGCGTACAAACTTATCTTAATACACAAATTTGTTATAGCTTTTTAATTTATATCATAAAAAATCGGATAAATTTCAGATAAAGAAAAACAAACACACCCACACACACACACACACACACACACACACACACACACACACACACACACACACACACACACACACACACACACACACACACACACACACACACAACAGACACACACACACACACACACACACACACACACACACACACACACACACATTCATAACTAAGAAACATAACAAAGAAACATACACATGTACCCTGATACACATATCTTAAGACATAGTCTCATATACATTCAGATAAAATCGAAAACACACACGGACACACGAAGACAGACACGCCCAAACACAAAGAACCACATGTATAAATATATATATATACACACACACACACATGCGCGCGCGCACAAACGCATGCACACAGAAATACGTGCCCACAGTAACATGCGTACAAACTTATCTTAATACACAAATTTGTTATAGCTTTTTAATTTATATCATAAAAAATCGGATAAATTTCAGATAAAGAAAAACAAAAATTCGTGGGAGAAGAAGTGCAAGGACTGGATAAATGGCAATCAGAAAAAGGGGAAGGGGAAAGGACAAAAGAAAGAAAGGACACTGGAAGAGGAAATTATAGAGAACTATTTAGATACATTGAGAAAAAATTTAAATTCATCAATGGACACACTGAAAGAAAAATTAAAGCTATTAAAGGAATGTGGAAAGAAAATAGCGGAATTGGATGGAGATGGAAAAGATTTACATTTTATAAATATTGATTCTGAAGACGACGACGGGAAAAAGTCGGAAGAGTCAGAAGATGAAAAAGAAGAGGAAGAAATGTCAGATAGTAATGAACAAATGACAGAAATTGATAAAGAAAATGATCAGAACCATAAAAGGAAAGGAGAAAAGAGAAAACTGAATCAAAATAAAGAAAGAGTTAAAGAAAATAAGAAAAACAAAGGCGAAGGAAATGAGAAAGAAGAAGAGGAAAAGAAAAGAGAAGATAAAGATGAAGGACAAACAGAATCAGGTGAAAAGGAAATTTTTAAAGAAATGGAGGGAAAGAAAGGAGAAGAAAAAGATGAAGGACAAACAGAATTAGGTGAAACGGAAATTTATAAAGAAAGTGGAGGTAGTAACCTGAGCGACATGGAGAATATGGTAACGTTGAAAAATATGTTGGAAAATCTAGTAGGACAAGAAATAACAGCAAGGTGTGAGGCGGGGTATATAGTTTCGAAAGAAGATTTGAGAGAAATGAATGAAGGGTTGTTAGAATTTTTGAGAGAAAATGCGACCATAGTGGAAGGATTAGAAAACATGGTAGAACCTGAAGTTCTCAAACATTTAAATTTTTTAATACATAATGGTGCAATCTGATTAACAGTAAGAAGTCGAAAAAGGCGTGGAAGTTAAGAATGTTAAAAATGTATAAGAAAGTTAAAAAACAAATAAAATGTCACCATCAAAATTGCATGAAAGCAAATGATATTGTTAATGATGTCGCCATTGTGTGTGTATTTGTAGGAGTATGAATGTGCGCATATTTTGATATGTGTATAAGCGTAAATGTGTATGTGAGTATACATGTAGTAGTGCGTGTGGAATAGTGTGGATGTTCATCCATGTGTTTGTCATGTGTGTATGTAAAAGCATGTATGTGTTTTATTTGCTTTAACGGAAAGGAATGTAAATGTGAGTAATTTATTCTACCATTGTACTAGAAAATATAACGTTCAACGAACAAGCAGTAAGCAGGTAAGTGAAAACAATCATCCACTGCTACGAAGTGTTATTCTGGCTAAATCGAATATATTAGACCTCATTCAGGAATCTACAATGTTCAGCCTGCGAATAAATCTTACCAATGTTATTAAAAGAAATTAAAAAAAAGGTTGACTCTGAAGGCCATCCCTGCAACTTCCCGCCAATTCCATACCTAAACGTTTGAAATTGCGCTTATGACGTTTCTAAGCTCTTCGAGCTCAAACATATAATTTGTGTGTTATATTGAGCTCTCTAAGCTGAAAGAAATAGCTTTTGTATGCTTTCGAGTGCATTAGTTTGATAGAAGTTTGATAAAACACGATTTTTCAAATTTTCAAACCACAATAACTTTTAAATAAATAAACCGATTTCTACGTGGTTAGCGGCATCCGACGAAGTTTATTGAGCCTCATAATAAATCGATTAGTTTAATTTGATCAAACTAGATGGACGGTGTGGCTTAATGTATATAGAATAAGTGAAAGGAAATTTAGTATAGACCGGATAGCTCAAATGGTAGAGTAGCCGACATGTCTTCGGAAGGTTCTGGGTTCGAATCCCAGTCCGAGCTATCTAATAATTTTTTCTCGCATATTCTATACACTCACATTAAGAAGTTCCTCTCCATAATCCTTTCTCAATCCTTTCCTACCAATTATCCTGTTACGTGAATGTTGGAACGCTTCACGTAATAATTATCCGTAACTCCTATTCTTTCCCGCTTCACAGCATTATTTATATTTGTTAAAAAATGTGGAACGCTTCACGATTTTGCGTGTCTATTTTTTCTACCATCTACTCTATTTAACAAAGATCTCAATTTTATATTAGGACTAGAATTAGAATTTACGCGCGCAAGCGCGCGCCTTGACTATAGAGTTTGCATATATTTTCATGCTTATGATATATTCGACCAATCACGTTACGAATAGTTTGATGCCACATATATTTCATCTCAATTTTATTATAGGATTGACTATTGAGTCGAGATATCATAATACAGTTTAGTTGAGTAAACGTTGAATAAAGTTAGTTTCGAGTAGTGATAAAATTGAGTATAGTTTTTTCTTTTATTACAAGTTATTCGATTATTTTCCCAAGCGGCAAAAATTTTTATTTGTTAATGTTTTGTTGAATTTGAGTTAACGATAATTAATTTTTTAACTTTTTGTTGAGTGAAATCTACCAAAAAGTCAAATTTTTTTTTGTAACGCTTGGGTTAGTGTGTACAGTATGTTGCAAAGTTGAGTTATCTGGAGTAAAAGCTGTGTTATTGCCAGAAAAGTAACAACCAATAAATTTATTTTGGAGCTGAAACATTTTAGTATTTTGTAGTAATTAGTGAGTTATTTTTTGATAAAGTTACCAATCAATAAAAATACTTATTTCCATATAAGTAATTCATATTAATCATAAAATTTAAGTGATCAAATTAAGTTACTAGAATAATTAAAAATGATAAAAACAGGTTGTTCCTATTCAGTGAAACATTCAATTGTATACGAGTGGAAAATTAACGAAATCACGTCATTTCTTAATGCTGCTAAACATTCGGAAGATGTAGAAGAAATGAATTCACCTAAATTCTCAACAGGTGCTAAAATAAAGGATTCTTGGAATTTACAATTAAGGGTCGCTAAGGATTCTGATTCATCAAATAAAAAATCATGGATGTCACTATATGTGAAATCAAACATCGATACGAAAATTCGAGCATCGTTTGCGTTCTCTATGGTAAATAATAAAAAAGAACGAGCATACATTGACATAGACACCAATCTCGTCATTGGAATTGATCTGAAAGCTGTTCAATCAAGCCGATTTTTTAATCATCTCGGGAAATATTGGGGTTTTAAGAATGTTATAACAATAGACAAATTATTGGAGAAAAAACAGGAATTTTTACCAAATGATGTTTTAACAGTATGTGTTGATCTGACAGTCTATGATGATTATCTTGAAATTAAAAATCAAATCGCTCCATTGAGAGGTTGTAAGCGGAAATTAAGGGATGACTTCATAGATCTTTTGACTGCTAAGAAAAATTCTGATGTAGTTATTTTAGCAGGCGATAAAAAATTTTATGTTCACAAGATTTTTCTGACCTCGCGTAGCTGCGTTTTTGAAGCTATGTTTTCTCATGATATGAAAGAAAAAAAAGAAAATGAAGTAACCATAACAGATATTGATGGTGAAGTATTTGAAAAACTTCTTGAGTATATTTACACTGACAGAGTCAACAATTTGGATATTTTCGCTGAAGGATTATTGGATGCGTCTGACAAGTATCAGCTCCAAGGACTTAAAGAAATGTGTGAAAATTTCTTAGCAAAAACTATATCTATTGAAAATGCTATAAGAATACTAATATTGGCAGATCGTCACAGTGCGAAGCGATTGAAGGAAAAACTTTTAAACTATGTAGTTTCTAATTTTGTCAAATTCAAAAATACTGAAGACTTCAAAGCTTTGAAGGAGTCCCAATCATCTCTATTTTCTGCCATCATTGAAAAATATGCCAATGAACATTAATTTTTAGTAAAGGTAGGTGTCTATTATTATTTCAGAGTTAGATAAAAAATACTATTTATTTAATTTTATCATTTTTTACTGTTTTAGTTCTGCGCAGGTGATAGGTATTCAATTTTTATTTTTATTGGATAGCAAATTTCAACTCTCGACATCTGCTAAATAGCACACTTTAAATAACATCACAAATTTTTGAAGCTCCTGACTTGCTGTCATCATCGGCTTTAAAGTTTACATACTTACGATTTTACCGTATCTTATTTAATAAGTCGAATTACAAATGATTTTTTATTAAAATTTTGAATTTTTCTTTTATATGCTGATAATCCTGTTATTTGTTGATAGGACAGTGAAAAATCTTTTGAATCCTTTTTTAATTATGTAAAGCAAATAATTTTTATATTGCAGTTAGACTTAAGTAAAAATGATGTTTTATTTAGTTTTCTAAATATAGAGATTTAAAAATCAGATTTGTTTCAATAAATAGATGAAAATGTGATTTGTTCGTTAGACTCTGAATTTTTTTTATTATATTTGATATTCAAGCCTTATATTATACAAGTGAACTAAAATATCTGATTCATTTGCTTTTTTTAATTTAATTATATATGTATAATCTTTTAATTATAATCTTCAAAAATAATTTAGATATTGTGGTCTTATTTGAATAAAAATTATACATTTAATAAAATTACCCATCTCATTTCTTTGTTATTACCATAATTATTTACAAATAACAATGCATATTAAGTAAAGTAATAATGCAAAAATTTAATTATTTATGTATTATTAACAAATGTAAGGTTTTAATTTTTTTACTTAAATCTATTAACAATAAAAATTGAAACTGAATATGTATTATCATATTTTATTAACAATAAGCTGAAAATTTTAAATTTATTTATATATTTATATAACAGGTATCAAAAGTTGTTCAAATAATAAAATATACCCAAATTTATTGAAAGACAATAATTAATTTATAAATCATTTATTATCAAATCAAAGATCTTTTTAAAATTATTAAAAAAATTGTACATTAAATAATCGATTATTTTAGTTTACATAATTGACAGAAAAACTGTCTTTTTCATTTGAGCTTTTTTTAGATTTTTTTTTATAAATTCAATTCTGAGTACAATTTGTATTTGAATTTTTTTCATTTTGATCAATTCTAAATCTTTATTTATTCCATATAATAATTATTTTGTTTAAATAAAAAATGTAAGTTGATTTAATTTTTATTAAATAAATTAACTAATTAGTGATAAACTGATAAAAAAAATTTTTTTTTCTTTTTTGAAAAAAAAAACGTAAGGTGCTTGACATGAATTACTATAAATATTTCAGTAACAAATATTGGTAAAAGTCATTAAAAAAGTATCTGAAAAAGTAGATTTTTTATACTATTAATTATTTCATTAATATAATATGAACTTTTAGTAATGAATTATATTTTATTTTAAATGACTGTTGAGTTGAATAAAAAATTGAGCCGTCATGGGACGCCTGGCAGATGTGAAACATCATGTGTGTACAAGTAATATGCATAAAAGATAATATTATCACAGGAATTAAATATAGCCTAATGAAAAAATAAAGTAAGTATTACGAATTTCTTACAGAAAATGGTAACTTTATTTAATAAACATTTATTTACATGTGATATAAAAATTCGATATTAATATCAAGTGGCCACAATTTAAATATTTTCATCTGTGACTTCAGTAATAGTTATATCCGATGTTTCCTCTGCCGGTATTACTGTGACGATTGGTCGATGATAACTAAAGTACGTTACAAAAGTATTGGATGAAACATTATCAAGATATCTCACAAATACAGCATCTATTGTTGTTCCATATTTGGTAGTAGATTCTCTTGGATTGTTGTTGATTTGCAATTGAAATTCTTTTTGAAGAAATTTCATTAATGGCATTGATTCAGCTCTTGCAAAATTTACATTAAAATCTCCAGCTAAAATTAATGGTAATTTATGTTTATTCGTTTCAAAAATTATTGAACCTCTTTGACTATAAGGAAATAACCTTTCATGTAAAAATGAAATTATATGATCCATTTTGTTATTAGGTGAAATGTATACTACAATCATAATTAATTCACTTCACAAGCATGTCCAAATTCATTATTGTTAAAGTTATCGATGAAATATTCATGAGCTGTTTTATGGTATCCAAATTGACTGTAATTATTCGAAATTTCCGCAATATTTGCGCCTGATAGGTTACTTAAATTTTGCTGAGATATGTCAAACACTTCATGCTCCATTTCTCCCAAACCAGTTAAATTTCGAGAATTTGTAGTTACTTCATCTATTATGATTATTGATTCTATAATTATTTCTCTATTTTCTATATTTGGACAAGTATGTAATTCTATAATACTTTCTGCATTCTGTAGACGTCTCCTTCTTTCCGCTTCACGCTGACTCAATTTTTCTCTGTTCTTTTCCCTGTATCTTTTTTGACGGTCTCTTTTATTTTGAAGAGTAGATGAAATAGCAGTTACTGGTTCTTCATTATTTACTTCCATTATATTTAAGTTTGAAGAGGTAGACGGTCTGATAATGCTTTGTGAAGATTTTATACGCTTTCTTCTTTCCGCTTGACGATGTTTCAATTTGTCTCTGTTTCGCTCCCTGTATTGTTTTTGACATTCTCTTTTACTATTGCTTACTCTGAAAAAAATATAAATATCCTAATATAAAATTGAGATGAGATGTATGTGGCATCAAACTATTCGTAACATGATTGGTTGAATATATCATAAGCATGAAAATATATGCAAACTCTATAGTCAAAGCGCGCGCTTGCGCGCGTAAATTCAAATTCTAGTGTTAATAAAATCTAAGATAAAAATTAAAATAGTTTGGTACTATTCGATTAATAAAGTCTTACACAACATTGATAGTATGCCTTGTGTTTAACTGATCAGGGTAGCGTCCAGTTTCAATAATAATATTTTGTGATCCCTGTGATGATTGTTGGGAACTGAAATATTAAAAAAAATCTGATATTAAAATACACAAGAAAAAGAAAAAAAATTTTGAGTGTGGCTTCAATATACTCATGAACTCAAATCTTAGTTAATTATTGCAATATATGACTAAAGATTTGCAAATATAAATTTTATTAATAAATTTTTCCATATTAATTCCTTCATGAATAATAAAAAAATAATTAATTGAAGATAATATTAATATAATTTATATAATTATTAATCTTAATATAATTTATATAATTACTAATAAGATTAATATGAATATAATTAATTAAATATAAAAAAATAATAATTACATTTATGGACACTTGAAAAATACGATCTACTTACTGATGACTTGGTAGTATGCCATAGTGTAGACATATTTTATTGTCAAAAATTAAAATAAAAATGTTTCACATCAAAATTAAATAAAACGCAGGTTATGTGTACCGTAGTAAACAACAACGTCGAACTGAGTGAGAAGCCCCACCGTACACTCTACTACACAGAAAATATATATATGTATAGTATACATATATACATTGTATACCTTAGTATAGCGTGGCGACCCGTCGCCACGGCAAGCGTCGCCACGCCAACAATTCGGTTTACTAGTGAGCCTATAGATGTTTCACATAAAAAAAAAAAAAAAATTTTAAAAATTTGTAATCAAAATTTGGATAAAGTAACGTCTAGGAACGAGTTTTTAATAGTCCAAGTTCACGCCGTCGAATAAACCGCAACGTTTTTCACAAAGAAACAGCCGATAAATTTATTAAATTTATTTGGCAATGAAACATGAAACATCGTAATATCTTGTGATTATAAGTGAGTTATTTTTTTTTTCTAAAATTACCAATCGATAGAAACACTAATTATTGTATAAATAATTTATATAAATCGTAAAATTAAGGTGAACAAGCTAAGTTACAGTGATAAAAAATGATAGAAGAAGGTGATTCTTATTCAGTAAAACATTCAATTGTCTACAAGTGGAAAATTAACGAAATCACGTCATTTCTTGATGCTGCTAAGTATTCGAAAAATGAAGAAGAAATAAGTTCGCCTAAATTTTCAACAGGTGCTAAAATAAAGGATTCTTGGAATTTAAAATTAAAGGTCGCTAAAGATTCTGAGAGCAAATCATGGATGTCAGTATACTTCGAATCAAACATCGATACGAAAGTTAGAGCAACGTTTGCCATTTTTATTCTAAATAAGAAAGAAGAACCAATGTTTGTAAATCAAAATGACATTCTCTTCAATGTAATTGATCCACAAGCTATTCAGTTTAACCGATTTTTTGGGCATGTTAAGAAAAGTTGGGGTACTCTGAATTTTGTCAAAATAAACGAATTATTAGAGAAAAAAGATGAATTCTTATCAAATAATACTTTAAAATTATGTGCTCATTTAACTGTCTATGATGAATACGTTGAAATCAACAATCAAATTGGTTCATTGGTAGTTTCTAAGGGGAAATTAAGCGAGGATTTTCAGGAGCTTTTGATTTCTAAGAAAAATTCTGATGTAGTTATTTTAGTAGGTGACAAGAAATTTGATGCTCACAAATTTATTTTGACTACGCGTAGCTGTGTCTTTGAAGCAATGTTTTCTTATGATATGAAAGAAAAGAAAGAAAATGAAATAACTATAATAGACATTGATGGTGAAGTATTTGAAAAACTACTCGAGTATATTTATACTGATAAAGTTGAAGATCTCAACATTTTCGCTGAAGGATTATTAGAAGCGTCTGACAAGTATCAGCTCCAAGGACTCAAAGAAATCTGTGAAGATTCTTTAGCAAGAAATATATCTATTGAAAATGCTATTAGAGTACTTATATTGGCAGATCGTCACAGTGCGAAGCAATTGAAGGAAGTAGTTGACAACTACGTGGTATCAAATTTTGTAAAATTCAAAAATACTGAAGACTTCAAAGCTTTGAAGGAGTCTCAATCACCTCTATTTTTTGCCATAGTTGAAAAATATGCCATTAAATATTAATTTTTAGTAAAGGTAGGTGTCTATTATTATTTTAGATAAAAAATACTATTTATTTTTTTTTTTTACTGTTTTAGTTCTGCGCAGGTGATATTTATTCAATTTTTATCTTTATTGGGAAGCAAGTTTTAACACTTGGAATATACAAAAACGCACTCTTCAAATAACATCACAAAGTTTAGAATACCATAACTTACTGTTAGCGTCTGCTTCGAAGTTCATTTAATAAGTCAAATTACATATGATTTTTTATTAAAATTTTGAATTTTTTTATTTATATGCCGATAATCTAGTTATTTGTTGAAATGACAGCGAAAAATCTTTTGAATGCTTTTTTAATTATGTAAATCAAATAATTTTCATATTGTAGTTAGATTCAAGTAAAAGTTATGTTTTATTTAGTTTTCTAGATGTAGAGATTTAAAAATATTATTTATTAGTCTTATTTTCTTCAAACTCGATTTTAACTTATTAAAATTATACACAATGTCTACTATTTATCATCAGATTTGTTTTAATAACTGAAATGAAGATATGATTTGTTAGTTTAGATTCTGAATTTTTTCTATTATATTTGATATTTAAGCCTTGTATTATACAAGTGAACTAAAACATCTGATTAATTTGTTTTTTAATTTAATTATATGTATAATTTTTTAATTATTATCTTGAAAAATAATTTGGATATTGTGGTCTCATTTAAATAAAAATTATAAATTTAACGATATGACCCATCTCATTTCTTTGTTATTATTATTATTGTTTATTATTACCATAATTGTTTTCAAATAGCAATAAATTTAAAATAAAATAAGAATGCAAAAATTTAATTATTGATTAATCATTAACAAATAATAATAAAATAAATACACAAATTTAATGAAAAACAGTAATTAAGTTATAAATCATTCATTATCAAATAGTAAATCTTTTTGAATTTACTAAAAAAATTTTACATCAAATAATTGATTATTTTAGTAGCGAGTACGGCACATTAATTTATTTAATAGGTATTGAATATTTTTTTTTTTTAATTTGAAAAAATTATGGTGTGTTCTGAATAAACAATTATTTTATTATGTTATAAATATTACAGTAACAATTATTGGTAAAAGTTATTAGAAAAGTATCTTAAAAAGCAGATGTATAGTTTTTTAAACTATTTATTATTTCTTTAATACATTATAAACTTCGTAATCAATTATATCTTATTTTAAATGTCTGTTGATTTAAAAAAAAAAAAAAAAAAAATTTTAAAATCTACAATCAAAATGTCGATAATGTAACTTCGAGAAACCAGTTTTTAATCGTCTAAGTTCACGCCGTCGAATAAACCGCAACAATAATTTCACAAAGAAACAGCTGATAAATTGATTAAATTTATTTGGCGATAAAATATCGTAATATCTTGTGATAATAAGTGGGTTTTTTTTTGCAAAAATTACCAATCAATAGGAACAGTAATTATTGTATAAATAATTTATATAGATCGTGAAATTAAGTTGAACAAGCTAATAAGTTAAGTACGGTGATAAAAAAAATTAAAAAAAAAAATGATAAAAAGAGGTTATTCCTTTTCAGTAGAACATTCAATTGTCTACGAGTGGAAAACTAATGGAATAACATCATTTCTTGATGCTGCCAAATATTCGGAAGAATTAGAAATGATGAATTCACCTAAATTCTCAACAGGTGCTAAAATGAATGATTCTTGGTATTTACAACTATCGATAAAAAAAGATTCCAATTCATTAAATAGCAAATCATGTATGTCACTATATTTGAAATCGAAAATCGATATGAAAGTTAGAGTGATGTTTGCGGTTTTCATTCTAAATAATAAAAAGGAACGAATGTATATGACCATAGATAACAACCTCGTCATTGATGTTGATTCAAAAGCTAATCAATTTGGCCGATTTTTTCAATATTCCGCAGATAACTGGGGTTTCAGCAATGTTATCGAAATAAACGAATTATTGGCGAAAAAGGAGGAATTTTTACCAAATGATATTTTGACAGTATGTGTTGATCTGACTGTCTATGATGATTATCTTGATGTTAATAATTCAATCAACTCAATGAAAATTACTGCGGAAAAATTGAGCGAGGATTTTGAAAAACTTTTGATTTTTAAGAAAAATTCTGATGTAGTTATTTTAGTAGGCGATAAGAAATTTGATGCTCACAAGCTTATTCTGACCACGCGCAGCTGCGTGTTTGAAGCTATGTTTTCTTATGATATGAAAGAAAAAAAAGAAAATGAAGTAACTATAACAGACATTGATTGTGAAGTATTCGAAAAACTTCTCGAGTATATTTACACTGACAAAGTCGAAAATTTGGACATTTTCGCTGAAGGATTATTGGATGCGTCTGACAAGTATCAGCTCCGCGGACTTAAAGAAATCTGTGAAGATTCTTTAGCCAAAACTATATCTATTGAAAATGCTATCAGAATACTAATTTTAGCAGATCGTCATAATGCGACACGGTTGAAGGAATTTGCTATGAACTATGCTGTCATTAACTTGGCGAATTTGAAGAATACTGGAGATTATGAAGCTTTAGGAAAGTTTCAACCATCTCTCGCCCTTGCTTTGCTCCAAAAATATGTAGATGGAATAAAAACTAATTGATGGTATGAAATTTTTTATTTTTTATGCAATAATTAAGAAAATTTTTAATGAATCTTCTCTTTTTAATGTTTCAGATTTTTATACAAAAGAAGTTTCCTTAGCTACTGGATATTTGTAAATGATTCTATTACATCATTCAACAATGAAGATTCTTTTCATATTCAGGTTTAATTTCTATTTAATTATTTAAATTAAAATTGTTTCATTGCGAAGTTGATGGGCAAAGTAATTGGGCAAATTTTTTTTTCTCTATATTAGTCAATCATCTATTGGGTTATTTTAAAAAATAACGAGAAGATGAAGATATTGCAGAGGTTTTTATCATCTTCATTTTTAATCCTAGTTGAAATACATCAAGATAGAGTCAATCTTTAAAAAATTTAATTTATCAATCATATCGACGGTCTAATTAGCAATTGGTCTAACTCCTTATTTTTTAGAGGATTATTTTTTAATATTTTGATACAGCAATAGTCCAATTATAAATTATTTTAATGATCCAAACCAAAATATTATACCTCTATTAGATATTAATGATATTAAATGGTTTTTTAAAGTGATATTAAATTTTGAATCAATTATTTTTTCGTACAAATGGAAGATTTTCTAAAATGAAGTTAGATAATTTGCTAATTAGAACGTCGATATTAATATTTTATAATCAATATACTACTACGAAAATTTTATTATTGTAAGAATTAATAGAAATAAATATTTTTGTAATAATCGATATATCTTTAATACTTATAAAATAAAAAAGAACTTTTGTTACTTTAAATTTTGAAATGGTTCTATTTTCTTTTAACTTGACTTAATGTATATGTCGTTTTTCATAAAAATTTTGAATTTTCTCTACCATATTTTGATATTGAAACCTCATTTTACAAGTAAACTAAGAAATGTATGAAATTTTTTTAATTTAATCATGAAAATTTTTGTGAAAAATACTTTTAATATTGTGGTTGCATTTGAATGAAAATTATAAATTTAATAAAATTATCTATTTTATTTCTTTGTTATTACCATAATTATTTACGAATAACAATAAATTATAAATAGAGTTAAAATATAGAATAATAAAATATACTGAAGATTATTAATCTTTAGGAAAGTTTCAACCATCTTTCGTCCTTATTTACTCCAAAAATATGTAGATGGATTAAATACTAATTGATGGTATGAAACTTTTAATTTTTTATGCAATAATTAAAAAGTTTTTATTTTTTAATTAATCTTTCCTTTTTAATGTTTCAGATTATTATACAAAAGAAGTTTCTTTTGGGCATTTATAACTTACGTTTCTTTTACATTATCCAAGAGTGAAGAAACTTTCTATATACAGTCAAATTTTTTATTTGTTTTTTAAATTAAAATTATTTTATTGCGACGTTATTGCGCAAAGCGATTGGAAGAATTAATTTTCATCAATATAATCATCATCTATTTAATTAAAAAAATACTGAGATAAAGATATTGCATGAGTTGTACTTATCTTCACTTTTAATTGTTGAAATACTATTAACATATTGTTAATTAATTATTAAAAAATTTTAGATATTTATGACATTATTATTTTATAATTTATATACTAAAAAATTTTGTTAGTAGTTTTATATAAATAATAAAAATTACTATACTATTATTATGTAAACATTATGTAATTACGTCGCAAATAACCATGCTGTTGAAGCGACCTAAAATAAATAAATAATAATTGCCACATTCAATAGTATCAATAATTGATACAAAAATCAACTTGAAAAATACTAAAAAAAATATTATTGTAATAGTGAATATAAATAAATATCTTTATAATAAATTATTATTATTATTATTATTGCTAATAATCAGTCATTATTCATATCAATAAAATAAAAAGAAGACTATAGAATTTTTGTAACTTAAAATTTTAAATGTTTGAGAGAAAATTACTTACTTTTATACAATTAAGCAAAAAATTTGTAACGTAAATAAATAAGACACATTGATAATGAAAAGAACGTTTTATTATAATTATAATATAATATATGAAGTAATTTATAATAGATGAACTAAAAATATACAAACGCAAAATCAAATATATTCAATTTAATACTTTTTCTTAACAAACTAAACTTATCATTAGCATTGACTTATTATTAACATTTTGGTCAAATATAAATATTCTTATAAACTTTTTAATCATTACGAATAAGTAAGAAATAAAAATTAATATTCTTCCTAATAATATAAAAATAAAAATAAGCGCTCATAATTATTTTAATCTTATAAGAGCAGTCTATAATCATAAATATAAGCGGTTCATTTTTTTTTGTTGGAAAAATATAAAAATAATTTCTTCTTATAAACATAAGTACAATAACTTTTAAATTTGTAATACAATACGTAAATTATTATACTGTTATTAATTAATTAGTTTTTTAATTAGTAGTAATTAAGCTATTAATTACAATATAAAATTATAATTGTATAATTTATACTATACAATTATTCAATCCTGAATGTAAACATTTTTTTATACATTTTTTTTTAATTATCATTTTAGTAGTGTCAAAAGAAATTAATACAATTGAAAATTAATCGTTTAAATTATTTCAGTTACTACCATTTAAAATTTTTATTATGGTTAAAGTCAAAATTGATTTAAGCATCAATAAGTAAATTATCAAAAGATAACAAATCAAAATATTTAATTATTTTTAATAGAATTTTTTAACTTTTTAAATTTAAAAATGGTAATTTTTTATTTATAATATTTACTGAAGAAAATTTATTAAATTATTTTCAATATTTCGTTGATAAGAGAAGAAATATAAACAATTTTTGAAAACTTTTAACAAGATTACTTTTCAACTCGTATTTTTAAACTTAAATTATTTTTGTAAAAAACAAAATTTTTATAATTTTTCTCATTCGATAAATCAAATTGTAAATGTTTATAAAAAATATCTTAAACTAAAAAGTACTAACAATAATTTTTTATCTTAATATAATTCTACTTATTAATCAGGTATTTTTTCGATGATCTTAAACAAAGACTCAGGCGAAAATTTGGAAGAATCTTTGAAATTAGCCAGTGTGAGAACTTCCCTGCGGTTATTCCAAATAAACGCAGCCGCTCTTTCCTGCAAGATGAACACATTATCTGTTTTCTGTCCTTCAGATAATTTCAATAATTGCAACGCATTTTCTTTTGTAATATTATTACTGAGTATTAATCCGCACAAATTAATCAGCTGAATTATTTGATAATTTTTCGCGACTACAAGAAGTTTCGCAGCCAGATCATAATCATGATTAGCTTTGTTGACTTTTCCAGTGTACAAAAACAGAAACAACTCCTCTGCAACGTCAATTTCAATTTTTCTTAAGCGAAGAAGCTTTTTTTTGTACTTAGTATCAGTAGTTGTAAGCATTGACTTCAGCACCGGGCTCTGAGATGCCAAAATATTCTTGTGAGTTGGAAATTCCCGATTTTTCACTATAATAATAACGTCACTGCACTCGATGCTGAGAAGAAACTGCTTCATGTTTTGGTACAAGTTTGAAAACACCAGGTCATCTTTAAATCCAAACCACGTGATCTTGCACTTGATACTCAGGTAAAATTTGAAACTGTCATCACAATCATTGTTTGAGTATTGAAGATAGTAGTACGGAAAATCAACGTCGAAGTTACAGGAATCCTTCCAGTCAGGTACATCCTTCACGTGCCAATTCATTCCGTTTGTTCGCAACTCGATAATTGCCATCGCTGATTTTTCAACAGTCTTTGATACTTTTACGTCCAAACTACTCAATTTGTTCAGTCTTACTGAGATGTAAAACTCTCCACAAGAATCCACGTCTATCAATTTTACATGACTTGACTTTAGCCATTCGTGATAATTGTCTTCAAGGGTTAATAAAAATTCGTGGGTTATCACTTGATTTTTCACTGATTCTTTACTCATTTTTAAGTTTTATAAATCACCTAAAAAATTTTTATTTATTAGAAGGTTAGTTGCATTTAATAAAAATAAATAAAAATTTAATTATGTAATTTTGTAACTTACTTGTTTAGAAAATCAGCAGCTGGTTCTTATTGTTGTGATCAGTTGTTTTTTATAACACCAAAATTATTTATAGTCTTTGTTGATTCAATTTTCAATAAATTGTTGATGTTAGATCTTTGTTTAGCGAATGGAAACTTAACGTGAGTTTACACAATACGTCAATCCTACGTTTTGTAGCCACCCGTTCAATCTTTCAATCGCGGTATGGCGTTCAACTGGGGTCATCTGAGTGATCCGAACGGAAATGTAGCCAATGTAATAATTGTAAAGAAATTCAAAAAGTAACTTGCTCTCTAACAAGTTATATACATTTAATACTTCATACATAACACTTAATGTATGTCAAATAATAGTAAATTCTATATAATAAAATACACACATTAAAACATTTA